CCTTACTTAGACTCGAAGAAACTTCAAAAAAAAAAAAAAAAATTCGAATTTTTATTCACTTTTTTTGTTTATGGACTCTTAATAACCGAAACGAAAGACTAGACGACTAAAAAAAATAGACACGAAACGAAAAAAAACAAAACGAAAACACGAAACAAAGACTGACTCAAAAAAAAAAATAGATAAAGGATAGGCGAAACCTTCTTAGGAAGATGGCTCTGATACCAAATGATGCAAACCTCGCCAACCATGTGACGGGACCCGATATCAATACTTCGGATATCAAAATCCCGGACCGTCCTAAAGAAGGAATCAAAGGGGTGTATGCGAAGACGCCACAATCGATTGCGAAAGTTCGATTGATAAGTCGGGGTGAACAAACGGAATCCACCGATATGTTCGAACAGTTCTTAAGGAACCAAAGAAAATAAACTCAATTTAAATCATTAAAATTCGTCCCATCAAATAAGCCAAATTGGCAACCTATTTATAAGATCTAAAAAGACTCAGTTTTCACAAGGAAAAGGACTCCTACCTAAACTATAATAAGGAAACTTGTAAATAAGCAAAAATCCTAACCATAAAGAACTCTAAAATAATAAAAACATAATAAAACCTAAATTAAAAAAACGTGCATAATTTAAATAAGATAACTTGATCTTCAAGTCGACGTCTCGATCACCCTTCTTAACTCGCGACATTGGGCTGTGCACGTGCATGCAATTAAAGCTCAATTTCGACACTGTTCCACTTCGAATATCTCTTCGCTCAAAACATAAAAGTTGTAGATCTTTCAGTTAGCTTTCTGAATCATTTTGAATCAGCTCAATTGGACTTCGGATGCGAGAGTTATAACTCGAATGGTAAACTCTGCCAGAATAGGCGAGAATCTCGGATGCATGGAATTCGACTTGTCCAACGACTTCTTCTCTTTCTTTTCTTCCAATTCCAAACCAAGGACTCCTCAAAGACCTGATCCAAGCTTTCATTCTTCAATTCCAAACCGAATAAACTCCTTAAACTTGTACGTTTTCGCTTCTTCCAATTCTTCAACTTGGAGCTTGCTAGGATCGTATCAAAAGGTATTTGAGGATAAATTGTATGTGTATAAATAAAAAAGGAACAAATCAGTTAAAATTGAAAATGCGTAATTAATGGGACTGTCATTGAATGAATGAAACATAGAGTGTAGAATTTATATTTTTATAAACAAACTTATATGTTGAATTTTGACCACATTTGATTGGTGACTTTCTAGTAAGTAAATCCAAAGTAAGTCTTAATTAGACTTAAATTTTTACTCAAAAAAAATTCAGACTTAAATTTGAATAATTCAATTGAAATAAATAAATAAACAACGTAGCTATTTGTTTTATATGTATTTATCCGTTTAGAAGACTCAAAATAAAATATTAAAGATTAACCTAAGTTGAATGGTGGTTGTATCCAAATTAAGCAATAGTTAAACTATTTTGAGTATTTCGATTGGAACAAATTAATAAATAAATTATTTATTTATTATTTGTTATAAATAAATGGTTAATTATAAATATGTAGATATGTAATTGATTGTCACATTCAGATGTGAAAGTCGGATCGAATGCATTAGAATTATCCTTTTCGAGAAATTTCCATTTCTGGATGTATGAAAATCAATTGCAATTTCAGTTTCAATTTTTAGTATGTAGTTTGTTTCAACGAATATTGATGAAAATCAATTAGTAAAAAATATATATAAAAGGAGGTTTTATATGTGTGCAGGGTGTGCAAAATAGGTAAGACAATTAATCAAATAAATTATTAATATCATTGTTTTTGAATTTTAATATCTAATTTCATGAAAATATTGAAAAAAGGTAAAATACTTTTTTTAAACAAATCATTGTAAAATCCATTGATATAAACAGTAACCGAGGAAAGAAATCACCAATAAAATAAATCTGGTTTAAAATACGGTATATTAGTCTACTTTTTGCTACTATTTAAAATATACATGAATACCATAAAATCGTGAAATATTTAGAAAATGAAAATAAATTAAAAAAAATAAAGAATGGATTTCCACTTTTATATAAATATTATTCAAAGTCGTTAAACGTTTGAACAAACTTTTGAATGGAATTATTAAAAAATAGAAATAAAAATGAATAGTGAATCGAATTTTATATTAAAAATAATGGGAAACAATAATAAAATGCTACAAAATTATTGAAATAAAATTATATGAAAATAAATAGCATTAACATTAGGAATTGTTTAAAATATGAAAATAAAACTAAAACTAAAAGAACATAATATACAAAAAGAATAATTCAAACTTATTAAAAAAATGTATAAAGATTTGAATGGATATATTAAAAAAAGTGAAATAAAATAGAATGGTAATTTAAAATATCTTTTGAAAGCAATAGAAATAAATAAGTAAATAAAAATGATAAAGCATCATTGAAATAAAATTGTATAAAAATTATAATAAAAAAAACGGAAAAAACAACACTAACAAAATATCATCAGCCAACTTTTTTCTTCTTTCATTTCTTGCTTCTGGCGTCGGAGTGAGGTGAAGATGAAGATAAAAACGGGTGGACAATTTTGCTTTGGTGTTGGATGGGAAATGTGGTTTTATACTTGTATTGAGTATCATAATTAAGTTAAATATGTATAAATAAGGAAATAACCATTTATTATATAATTAACATAAATGCTGATATTCAAATTTGTAAGAAAAAATAAAAGATATGATTGGCCAAATCAAAGGAAATTCGAAATTTCCTTATTAAATATCAATATAATATTTATTTTATAATTAACATAAATGTAATAAACAAATCATTTTTTTGAAATAAGTTAAATGATAAATATGACAAAATGTAATAAAGACTAATTAAGGAAAGAAGTCCACAAATAAAAGAGATGAAAAGATTTGGGATCAAAATTGAAGATGTCAAAACTTCAATTGTGTATTCTCCCTTTATATATTATATAGATTTCATCAATTAACTAATTTTGACTTCCACCGCCGAACAGCCGCCGTTGACCACTAGTATCCGGCGTTGACTTTTTTTTTTGAAAACCTTTTTTTTCTCGATTTTTTTTCGGCAGGTCAACCGTCGTTCATTTTTTTTTCTTTAGAAAAAATATTTTAATTAATATTACTGTCTTGGTCTGCTATTACTGTTTCCGACAGTAATTTAACTGTCTAAGACAGTAATTTTACTTGTATTAATTAGTTTTATCGTCTGGGCTTGCAATTTTGCTATCTTCGAACGTAATATTACTGTCTCCGACCATAATATTATTGTCTCATGCAATAATATTATTGTTTGAGACAGTAATATTAGTAACATTGTTGTTCGGGAAAGTAATATTCATAATGTTATTGTTCGGGACAGTAGTATTAGTGCTCAGGACAGTAGTATTACAGTTTGGGACAGTATATTAGTAAAATTATTGTTTTGACATTCAATGTTACTATCTCAGACAATAATTTTGTTGTTAACACAGTAATTTAGAAGAAGAAAAAAAAATTCAAAAAAAAAAATCAACGCCGGAGACCGGCGATTGACCAACCAGAAAAAAATTTCAAGAAAAAAAAAATTCAACGCTCGAATCTGGATTTTTTAGAAAATATATTTTTGTATGAATTTTTTTTTTCCAACTTGACCACGGATCTTTGGCATTGACTTTTTTTTAAACTGTTTTTTTTCTGATATATTTTTTCCCACCTGATCTCTAGCGTTATCTTTTTTTTTTTAACTTGTTTTTTCTCCCTAAATTAATGTGTTAACAACAAATTTACTGTCTCAAACAGTAATATTACGGTCGGAGACAACAATATTGTAGGCCAAGACGATAAGATTAATTAATACATTAATATTATTGTGTTAATAGTACTGTCTCATACTGCTTTCGCAGTTGTTCGTCTTTCATAAATCCAAGAATTTCACCTATGACTATGAAATACGAATGCCCCCGATTGTCCCTGTTAATCATTACTCCGATCCCGAAGGCCAACGTAATAGGACCGAAATCCTATAATGTTATCCCATGCTAATGTATCCAGAGCGTAGGCTTGCTTTGAGCACTCTAATTTCTTCAAAGTAACAGCGCCGGAGGCACGACCCGGCCAGTTAAGACCAGGAGCGCATCGCCGGCAGAAGGGACGAGACAACCGGTGCACACCGTAACATTGCAAACAAAGATAGTAATATTAATGAAAAATAGTTTTAAAAAATCAAATTTTCTTTTTTTAAATCAACGCCGGAGACCAGCGGCTAACTTGTCGTAAAAAAATCAAAAAAAAATTCAAAAAAAAAAAAAAAGAAAAAAAAAACAAAGTTAACACCGGAGACCGACGATGGTGGTCAAAATTGGTTAATTGGGTAAAATTGGTGTGTAAATAGTGGAATTGATGTTGAATTAGGATTTCGAGGAATTTGGGTAATTTTGATATATATGGAAGAATTTTCCTTGTTAGCAAATAAATTTGAATAAGGTTGATATATTTGCAAGAAAAAAAAAATAGAATGCCCCTTTTAATTAAGTGCATTTTTCATGGGCCTATTGACCATTTGTCCATAGTATTTTATGTCAAAATTTGGGTATGGTAATAGATATTACCAATTTTAATACAAAGGAGATTTTGTTTCTTGAATATCTTGCCATAATTTTGGTAGGGTAGTTACCAATTTTAATATGGAGGAGATTTTATTCTTAGAAAAACAACAAATATTTTCTAGCAAAATGATTTAAAATCAATGTCTTACTTATGGCACTATCCATGCTATGAGCAAAACAATGTACCAAGAAAAGATTAAAATACAAGCAAAAAAAAGATTATTATGATATAATTATAAATCAAAAGTAATTCATGCTTCAAATCATCATTTTATTCAAATAAAACACAAAGTTTAAAAGGAAAGGAGGTTTATCGAAAGGAGCACATTCTAGTCAATATTAAAGAGGTTTAGATTCAAACAGATATCTTCCTCGTCGCAAATATACAAGAAAAAACCGAAGTGTCTATGTTTCACACGTTATGACGACGATAATTAAACACGACGTTTATAGCCATATTTTAATTCCCCCTCTACTCACATCATAAAGTATTGCTTTGAATCTTCCATCAATACGTTCAACTAGACTTGTTCGACCACCCGTTATCGAAATCAGCAAAAACAAACTATCTACACAAAACCCGATAGAGAAGAGCCAACACTTTCTCCATGCAAAGGCATATTTTATTGGCTTTCTCCTTTACCGGATAATAACCGAAACTCCAATACTTCTTCTTTTTACAAATGGTAACGATACTTCTTAGTTCTCACGAAGAAGCCCATTCAAAGAAATGGCAACGAGCACCTCTAGCGACAGTCCAATTTCCACACCCAAAGAAGAAGCTCCCTTGCTTTGGACCTGGTCTTCGGATCACTCCTTTACTGCTTGTCACCCCACAGTAACAACAGTGATTGTACTGCAGCAGTGTAGGTCGGAGTTCTAGAAGTTTCCGAGGTGGAGGCGAAGAAACGAGGATAGGTTTCTCGTGCATTGGCTTCCATATGAAGGAACCATCGTTGTTGTTAGTCTGATAAGCGAGCGAGTTGGTTATTGAGAGTTTAAAGCCCTTGTGCATAATGGAGGCGAGTAGGCGGGCCGTGTTCTTGGCATCATCTAGACCACAGTGGGCCCGGCCTTGCCAGACGAGACCAGCCTTCTCCACCGCCTGCTTCAAATTGCATCTATCCCCACCGAAAATCTCTTGAAAAGGAACCCTCAAGTTGATCCATCTGCCCAAAAGTGAGTTCAAATTTCAAATCAGTGTGTTTGTTCAATTGGTGAAATAGAAGGGTAGAATCAGAATAAAAAAAGTCAGTCAGAACTGTACCGGTTGAAATAGGGTGGTTTTCTGACTTTTTTGTAGCGGCACTCAGATTCCAACATCACGCGGCAATCCCAGTTAGACCATGTTACCACAGCAAAGTTGGTGTTTTTTATTCCCTTCTTTTCGAGCCATTTATCGTGTCTAAGTAGAGCTTCACTTAGCGGAACTCCCCTGTCCACCTAGAAAAGTGAGAGAAGATGACATCACACAGTTTTTCGGAGCAAAACTAACAAGTTAAAACAAACACACATGTGATCAATTAACTCGTGCTACAATGTCATTAGGACACACACATGCATATATAAAGACGGAACAGATTATATATAAACCTGAATTTGCTGTATGCCAGTCAGATCTTTGCAGAAATCAGTCAAGACTTGGTTGCAAGTTGGCCGCACGTAAGTTTGGAAACAAGCTTCCAACTGTCCGGTTGTGCTGCTCACTATAACAGATGGGAACTCGATAATCTCTTGCGGGTGAGGGTTTTTCTCTTTGTCGCACGTGGCCTCAAAATCAATCACAACAAAATATTGGAAATCTTGGAATTGATGGTTTTGAGGAAACATGTTCACTGGTGCATACTGGAATCTGTAGTTTAATGCAACCGGGTGGAATTGTCCCCGAAAGGCACCACTAGAGCCATGTTCATGTTGATAAACGGGGCGTTGTGTACATTCTTCTGACAGCTGTACAGGCTTACTGCCTGACGAGTTATCTGGAAAGCCTTCAGTGTAGGTTTTATTATACTGTAAAGTACTTGGGTGGCCTTTATTTTCAAGGCATTTTAAGGATGCCTCATAATTCCCCTGGATAGTATCTGCATTGCAAAATAGTAAAGAAAAACTTAACATTACGATATGCAGGATCGAATTTGAAATATAGCAGCTAGAAGCAAATTTACGAGTAATTCTCCAAGGCAATATAACTACTTGTCAATATTTCATCGAGTTTTCTTATACATAGATGAAGACGCATTATAATTTAATAAAACTAGGAGAGTTAGATCTCACTGTTAACTTGGATATGAAAATTCAGTCGAGGAGGCAGACAAAAGAATTGTATTTCATCTGCTATGTTATATTACATATACAAAAATAGATTTCAAAAACAAGCAGCACAAAAACTAATATGCTAAAACTATCATGTCCATAAATCAGCTCTGACTTGGTAATTTAGCCTTAAACATAGATTAGGGATAACCAAAAGCCATTAAGTAGCACAAGTTTAATTGTAAAAACTTCAACCTTAATCTTCCTCTATTTCATCATAACAAGGTGATAAATTTGAGGCTAATCCTCCAACCTTAGTAAGAGCAAGATTTTACCGATGTGAAATTTCTTTCAAAAGCGTTGCACGCCTAATGAATATCATAGCCCTTTTTTAATGGTTAATTGTTAATGTCAGTGATATATATTATCTACTCCAATGACTTGATATGTTTATTCTTGACCTAGAACAAATATTAAAGTTAATATTTAAAGATCATTCCAACAGAAAACCTATGGGTAAGTAGAACTCTTCTTTTGACAGAAATTGTTTTAAAAAATATTTCCTATTTGTACGCGGAAGGAGTCATTTTCAAGTTTCTACTTTTCCATTAAACACAAAAGAACTTTGGCAATGTTTGGTTTTCTTTCCATTTCACTTTATTATTTCCCCGAAACGAATTCGTGTTTGATAAGGTTTCCGAAAAAAGTTCCCAAAAAATAATCCTAAAGTTTCTTTCTCCTTCAGAAAAGATTTGACTGCTACAGTAAAAATTGTCTCCACTTAAAAACAAACAGATATCAATTTAAATTTCAAATTCTACTTCAACAATACATTTTCCCAACACCTTTAAACATGATTTGACCGCTACAATGTATTTTGCCTCATCCCAAGTCATAAACAAACATTAATTTCATTCTCCAATTATTCTCTCAAAACATATTTCCCCAAACATTGCCTTTGTTTTTTCGGCCTCTTCACTATCTTTTCCATTTTTCCTACGGTTTTATCATTGAATAGTAGTTCCCCGTGTTCTCTTTTAATTTCAGAAAGTGTCCAACAATTCAATATTTTGATTTCGTAAGTGCGTCTATTGCTACTGGTTTCCTCAACACCTCCACAGTAGATTTCTAACGAGAATAAACGTACTCAATTGAGCAGGTCGAATCAGCCTACTACACTATTCTAGCCACGTACCACACTCAAGCTGCCGAATACACATCCCTCACTCTGCACATTACATAAAAGCCAAAAACTAGGAGAAAGCTAGCTACATACATCCGGCCTTTCTTTAAGAAACATAAAAGTAACAGAAAGTAAATATAACATATCGAAATCCTCGGTAAACAGGATACTATTCGATAGATTCTTTTCTCACACAAAGCTTTGCATCCGTATCCATTATTGCATTTTTTTCTCGGTTTCGGCAATTTATAATTCACTTCCCTCACCTACAAGATTTAATTTCAATCGTGGCCTCAAAGATGATAATCCCTCACCATTGTTAACACTACATGCTAGAAAGAGATAAAACTCATAACCTTAACAATCCCGATTCCCGACGCAAACACCTTAAACGAATAAAACAACCTTCAGCGCATACCTTGTTGAGATAATTCCCAATTAAATATGATCAATTCATTTTCTCATCATACATTACTGCATTTGAATAAATAATTAAACCTCGCCACACCAGAAACTCAATTCGACCACCCACCGAACGAAAAATCGAAAAACAAAATCTGATCTTTTCACAATCCAAAATAAAAAAATAAAAAATAAAAAATAAAAAAATTAGAACACACAGACAAAACAAAAACAAACAAGCAATTAACTGAAATCAAATTGAACAAAAATGATCATTACACATTGTAAACAGAAACACGAGAGGATTAACGAACATACACACCTTTACGCTCCAAAGAAGCAATCATCGTGAAGTTTGGGAATAAAAATTAAGATCCGCAAGCAAGTACATCAG